CTAGCTAGCTAGCCAGCCAGCCAGCTCGAATAGCTAGCTAGCTAGCTAGCTAGCTAGCTATTGTATCTAGCTGTAAATAAAGAGTACCGAGATAAAGACTAACGGGCTAGTTGCCTATCTGGTTAGCTAGCTAGCTAGCTACGCAGCTAGCTAGCTAGCTAGCTGGCTTCCCAGCTAGCTAGCTAGCGATCGAGAATGGCTCGATTCGAAATGCCAGCTAGCTAGCCAGCCAGCTATCTAGCTAGCTAGCTAGCTAGCTAGATAGCTGGCTAACGAGCCAGCTAGCCAGACAGCTATCTAGCCAGCTAGCTAGCGAGCCTCTAGCCAGCCAGTTACCTATCTAGCTAGCTAGCTAGCCAGCCAGCTAGCTAGCTAGCCAGCTAGCCAGCTAACTAGCTAGCCAGCTAGCCAGCTAACTAGCTAGCCAGCTATCCAGCTAATCAGCTAGCCAGCTAACTAGAGATCGAGATGGACTGATTTGAAATGTTAGCTAGCCAGCCAGCTAGCTAGCTAGCCAGCTAGCTAGCTAGCCAGCCAGCTAGCTAGCCAGCTAGCTACCAGCCAGACAGCCAGCTAGCTAGCCAGCCAGCTAGCTAGCTAGCTAGCTAGCTAGCTAGGGACTGAGATGGACTGATTTGAAATGTTTGTCAGGATCATCTTTTTGTTCCTCGAATGTTTCTTTTAAAAGACAAAATTGGAATTGAAGAATTCGCCAGCCACTTTCCCGAAGGAGGAGAAGTGAGAATAAATAAATAATAAATAAATAAATAGAATTAATTAATTAGTTAATTAATTAAAATATATATAAATAAATAGGAAGAACTAATTAATTAACTAATTAATTAATTAATTAATTTATTTATTTTTTTATTTTTTTATTTATTTATATTTATTTATATTTATTTCTTTTTTAGCCTCTGGAGCGGCTGGAGGCTTTTGCAGCAAAAGTGAATTCGCATTTGTCTCCAGAAGCTGCAGCAGAAATAAAACTGAGCAGCAAAAGAAAATCGAAAAACAAAAAACAAAAAGAAGATCCAAATGCAGCAGCAGCAGCAGCAGGAACAGCAGCAGCAGCAGCAGCAGGGACAGCAGCAGCAGCAACAGCAGGAGGAAAGGAAGCAGCAGCAGCAGGAACAGCAGCAGGAGGAGCAAAAGCCGCCGCCGCAGCAGCAGCAGAAACAGCAGCAACAGGAGCAGCAGCAGCAGCAACAGCAACAGCAACAGCAACATCAGAAGCAGCAGCAGAAGAGGAGGCGTATGTCAGTGTCCGTACACTCAACGAGGAAAGAGGCAGAAGCTTTAAATCCATTTTTAATTATTTTAAAACTCAAACAGGAGTTCTTTCTACCTCAGGTAATCATTTATTATTTATTTATTTATTTATTATTTATTTATTATTTATTTATTATTTATTTATTATTTATTTATTATTTACTTATTATTATTTATTATTTATTACTTATTTAT